TAAGTATCTTGCCTAAACTTATGCGAGAGAATTACCTTAGGATTTTGTCTAATTTGCATTAACTTTGCTATGTGAAATGACGTGTACACGAGGTGACTAGTGTGTACACGGGCGTATGTATGGTTTATGACCAGATTAGACTTAGGCTATTAATATGCCTTGGAATTGGGGTTGTTTGCTATCGGAAACATGCTTTATTGTTGAATGGTTCCCGCACTCCTATGTTATTGTTATGATTCTTGTGCACCTTGTTGTTGAGACGTAGGCTATATCTTGATGTGACTTTGATTATTGTTTTAGTGATATGTGGCACATGTGAACATATTGTACGTGTTGATTGATGTTGTGTGGAGTATAAGGGTGGCAAGATGCGCATTCGACGACATAAGGGATGTATTTAACTGTGATGTACATGCGGCGAGATAAGGTTTGGAACAAGGTTGATGTTGTGATATACTTGTTTTCTAAATGCTTCCGTCTTGTGTTTTATGAGATGTTGATTGATTTTGATATGCTATCTCATGCCCCACCCCTACTGATATTCTGTTGGCAAAGTTATCCCTGCTGTTCAGTTCGCATGCCTCGGAGTCACCCTCTTATTTCATTTTCTACTGCTTATGTATTCCAAACAATGATGTATTTTTTAGACTTCTTATGTATTCCATGTAGAACTTATGACTTAGTATTACCAGATTTTGGGATGATGACTGTTGTATTTCCGTTGGCTGTGTTATGGCAATTTCTCAGTTTTCATTTAATTTGAAGTTATTATATTCTGACTGAATTGTATGGGGTAGGCTTACCTAGGTTCTTGGAGATTAGGTGCCATCACGACCTTTATAGTGAGATTTTGGATCGTGACAGTAAGGCGCCATCACGACCCGATTGGTTGGAAGTTCGAGTCGTAACAGATCAAGGACAACTGTTATAAACTTGATCAAGGACAACTGTTATAAACTTGATTTGATGCCACAACGCGAATTATTTACAACTGCACTGTTATCACAATAGATTACAATGGACTCTTCTGAATTGAGTCAACACTATGAGTTCCGAAACAAAATATCGGAGCCAAACAACTTTAGTGGATGCACTATAACAAGCTGTGAACTAAGCATACATGGTCAATGACGGTACCGACTATGGTGTACTCATACTATGCTTTTGCATATCCTTTGTGCAGATCCAGGTACTTCAAATCGAGCTGGTCATTGAGCTAGAGCTGTTGGAGACTTCAAGATATCCCCGCTGTTCAGTTCGCAGGCCTCAGAGTCACCCTCTTATTTCATTTTCTACTGTTTATGTATTCCAAACAATGATGTATTTTTTAGACTTCTTATGTATTCCATATAGAACTTATGACTTAGTATTACCAGATTTTGGGATGATGACTATTTTATTTCCGTTGGCTGTGTTATGGCTTCACTAGTTCTTAGAGACTAGGTCCTTTATAGTGAGATTTTGGATCGTGACAGTAAGGCGCCATCACGATCGGATTTGTTAGGAGTTCGAGTCGTGACAGATCAAGGACAACTGTTATAAACTTGATTTGATGCCACAACGCGAATTATTATTTTTAGAAAGAATACAACTGCACTGTTAACAATGGACTCTGAATTGACTACTATGAGTTCCGAAACAAAATATCGGAAGAGCCAAACAACTTTAGTGGATGCACTAACTATATAACAAGCTGTGAACTAAGCATACACGGTCAATGACGTAACCAACATCTGTTTACTGCTCTTCCGGGAAATGGCATCGGACTTATATTCATTTGTGCACCCGCCAAAGTTAGTATCTGAATAACCAGCTATTTTAAGACTATCAACCGTGTTGCGCCCTATTTTTACTCACGATTCAATATTATGGTAATTCCGAGGTTTATTAAAATTATGAAATCGTCGCCTAATATTTTAAGGTATATTAGGATCAACTTTTAACAGTCTTCTAAACCAGTGAGATACTACTAGGTAAGGGGTCAAAGTTATTTTGAGGGGAAGGTGTAAGATATCCCTACCTAAAGGTAGTTCCTCAAACTTAAGTCTAAAAATGGAGAAAAAATTGTTTATACCCTGATTATTATTAAAGTCTACATGCGTGAGCTACACTCATACTAAAAGTTATAAAGCTTGATTTTAGAAAAGCAAAAAATGGACATTCTTGACAATGGTTGTTTTTACAGAAAATGATTAGAAGAGTTGACAACTTTATTAGATGAAAATTAATGAGGAAAAAAGGGTAAGGATTGATCAAGTATAATGTAAAAGTTGGCTAGAGTCGTAAGTTCACAAATAATGACCATATTTGCTAAAAGGATTTGTTTGAAGAGATTAACTGAGTCATACCACTTAGGCTTCAAAAGACTTGTATCTTTTATCACAAAGCTGGGCTAAATCTTATACTTTGATAAAAATTGCACGGGGCGACCAAATAACATATATTCACTTTTTAAATTTTTTTTAATTTATACCCACTTTTAAAACAACTTCAGGCCTCCTTCGTTTTCTTCTTCTTCTTCTTCGAGTGACAATGATTTTATATGGTGGTTATGATTTTATATGGTGGTTGTGAATATATTTTAATGTAGTTTATGGTATTTTTACAAAAAAAAATTGGTTGCAAATGTCAATATTACCTTTTACAAAAAAAATTGGTTTCTCTTCTTCTTTTCATAGTAAACATTGTACATAGTGAATAAGTGCTGGTGCAAACGTTCCATTGAATCTAGTGCTTAATGTGAGTGATCGATCTTTTATGACTCATAAAAAGTTGTTCTTCATTTCTTGCAAACTTGTAAGAACAGTACAGTGCCAATTTGAAATATAATACTGCTTTAAGGACTAGATAGATATCTGTTGATAGATATAATGTAAACATGCATATTCTTATCTTGCTCGCTTCTGGACATAGCAATATCAGAGAAACAACTGAAATTAGTTCCAGTTGCTGCAATTTAATTTTGTAAGAGCTCCTAAGAATGCTGAAGTTCAGCAAATATAAACAAAACTTCAGCTCCTAGAATGCTGAAGTTAAGCAAATACAAAACAAACTTCAGCTCCTAGCTCCTAGAATACACTTCAACTCCTAGAAAGCTGAAGTTCAACAATTACAAAACAAAAAATTCAGTCAAAACATGATTCAGTTTTATTGAACTAAAATTTGCGTGATTGACTTTGCAAGTCAGGCCAAACTTCAGGCAAAAATATCTGAAGTTTAGCTATTTTTGCTATTTCAGGCTCGTATGTCAAAAGTTACCCGAAATGTGGATACACTTGTAATTTCTTTTGCAAAGCGAATATAAAGTTAAAAGGTGACCCAAAAACTAGGTATAAATGCAAATCCCCTATACTTTGCCTTCGCGTTTCCTTTCAAAAGGGTGAGGTGAGCCCAATTTCAGTTTTTCTAAAAATGACCGATCATTCCTAAATGTTTGCCTTTTTTGTTTAAAGCCAGTTCTGCAAACACTTGCTGAGACAATTTTAGAAGAAATTTGGTAAAATAATTTATTGATGACAAACTAACATGTATTAGTAGTTACGGGTTTTATAAAAGATAGCACTAGTCTAAATGTGTTTTAGCTTCTATCCTACACAATTTATTGTCTTAAAGCTAACTTCCAACTAGTCATACTAACGAAAAGTATGATGGTAAATCAAACCCAGTTTAACACAAAATGAATATACAAAGTCAGTAAAGGACTTAAAGGGGGCTAGACTCTTCATTCTGGGCTGATGGTAAATCAAACCCATTAAAAAATAACGGGAGGCAGCACGACAGGCTCAGAAATAGGGGGAATTTGAAGCCGTACTCTATATTTGTGCCACCTTTTAACCTGAAACCTATTTTTTAAAATTATTGATTTGGTAATCATCTCACAAAAAATTCGTAATAATATGACAATTACACCCCTGACAAAAGATATAAAACGAACTCCTTCTCTCCTTTCAGCAACTTTATAAAAAGATCAGAAACTTGTGCAAATTCATCTTCAGAATCACACTTGCATGAAGTTGTTTCACCTTGAAGCTAAAACTTCATTTTAATGCATACTGAAATTATTTATCCTGCAGTCTACAGTTTTGCCATTAATTTTATCCGAAACTTCAGTCTAAAAATGATGAAGTTATTTAGTTCATTTGCTAAAACTTCAGACTAAACATGTTAAAATTATTTAGTTCATTTGCTAAAACTTCAGACTAAACTAAACTTCAGGCTAAACATGCTTAAATTATTTAGTTCATTTGCTAAAACTTCAGACTAAACATGCTTAAGTTATTTAGTTCATTTGCTAAAACTTCAGACTAAACATGCTTAAGTTATTTAGTTCATTTGCTAAACTTCAGACTAAACATGCTTAAGTTTTTGTCTTGTAGTATGTAATTTTCTAATGAGTTTTTGCTAAGTTCATTTGCTAAAATTTCAGACAAAACATGCTGAAGTTAGTTAATTTATTTGCTAAAATTTCAAACTAAACATGCTGAAAGTTTTTAGTTCATTTGCTAAAATTTCAAACTAAACATGCTGAAAGTTTTTAGTTCATTTGCTAAAATTTCAAACTAAACATGCTTAAATTTTTGTCTTGCAGTAAGTAATTTTCTAAAGAGTTTTTGCTAATGCATGCTGAAGTTATTTAGTTTATTTGCAAAAAAATTTCATACCAAAAAATGCTAAATTTTTGTAACGCAGTCTACAGTTTTGTCCTGAATTTTATCCGAAACTTCAGTCTAAACAAGCTGAAGTTTTTTAGTTTATTTGTTAAAATTTCAGCTTAAACATGCTTAAATTTTTGTCCTGCAGTTTGTCAATAGTCTTTTATTAAAGAAGGGCAAAATCATCTTTTTAAAACGCTTTTAACAAAAAAGTGGGTACGGATGCAAACGGAAAAACAAAACGGGGAGCCCATGCAATTTTTCCAGAAACAGGAGCAGCAACAACACAGTTTATTTGAACTGGGACAACGTTCAAAATGAGCTCTGCAGGCCCAGCAGGCGTTCGTGTAAAGGAAGAGATAACTTGATTTTATTTGATAAGAAAAGTAAAGACAGAAATACAATGACAAAGTAATGCATAATTGTAGCATCAGATAAACAAGGTAAGTTAAACCAAACAATTGTGAATAATTCCCCAAAGGTTAGCAAAGTAAGAACTACTGAATTTCTTAAACACATTACGCTTTCAAAGGATCTCCCTTAGACCTCGGACACTTCAGAGTTCACAAGGGTCTCAAGGACCCAGAGCAGTGCTTGTGCCAAGGAAGGATATCCTTTGATGAGAATCAATCTTTATAATGAATATCAGTAGCCACTAACCCCTTTTCCTCCATGGGGGAGTTAAACACGAGATTTTCCTAACTAGTAGGTCTTTCAAACAAACTGTTACACAACAGGAACACCTATCACGGATTATAGAACTTCTAATTCTAGGTCTAAGGTTTACAAATCAATGTTTCAAATGCCTCAAACATAATACATACATAAGCATTTAGAATTTCTGGGAGGATATCTTGAAACCAAGGCAGGATTACTATGAGGACAACCGTGATTACACATATGAGATGCCAGCAAGCTCCAATCAACCAAGTAAGACATGCAAAACTCATTAAATCCTCTGTGCCCTAGTTTGGCAGGTAATAAACTTCTAGGTGAGTTTGTCAAACATGCAATCACATAACTTTACTAGCAATAAAGGTCATATTCGAACTTTTTTTACTCCAGAACATGTATAGTAAAACAATATCCTTATCAGTCATTCTCCAGGATCAAAGAAAACGAAGGGCGCATGCACATCTACTTATCTGTTCATAAAGACAAAATCATTTTTATAACTTATTAGTCCTTGATCATAACTAAGAATCACGTTAGAGGTAAAAGAGGTAAGGGTGACAGAATTCCTATAATGGGATATCCCATAGCTTATCACAGAAAAGCTTGTTTATGCTTGGTTTTCTAGCAGATGCAAATAGAGAAGACAGTCATGTATTCCATCATTTTAGAATCTAAGTGTTTAGTCAAGACAAAAGTTCTCCTTAAACCTATTCATTTATTAACTTCAAATCAGATTTATACTGTCAGTGATAGAACCTGTAGCCATAGTTTCTCGAAAAAGTTTATCCCTAACACAACTTCATATCAGTCATAAGCATACAAGAGATGACACTCTGCATTCATAGTTCAAAGAAGCAGGAAGGTAGGAACAAAGTTATTATCACCCTTCAAATTGGTTCAAGCAAAGACCCATAACATACCAACTTGGATACATGCTTCCCCTAATAATTTAAACAAATTTGACGATCATATATTGTACCTATTAATCTTGTCATACGCACATGCCTACTAGAACAATGTTTAAAACCTTAAGAGTTTTCAAGAACCTAATTTCAACAAGCAAGAATCAATTCACAACATGCTATTTTGTAAAGAATCAATAAGACATCCAATTTCCGAAGGCATGATATATACATAGGCATTTAAAGACAATGGCTAAGGTGACACAGCTGCGGGAGTAATACATAGAACTTGAGTAGTAGTACGAGAATAAGTAGTAGTTAAGTCAGTTATATAATTTGAGAACTAGCAGTTTAGTCCCTAGAGTATTTTCACTTTATCCCGGTTAGTCTTATATTTCTTTTACTTTAGTATTCATCTCAGTCACATTATATGTACTCCACTTTACCCATTTGAGGATTATGAATGAGAATACTTAGTTCCTTTCTCTTCTCTCTTAAATTGCTAGCTTAGATCTTATTATTTTCCTTGCAAGTTAACAGATTATATCAGTGGTATCAGAGCAATTTCATGCTCTGTGGGTCATCAACCATGACTGGTGAAATTGGAGAAGTGTTGAATCGGTTGGATCGAATGGCTATTGAAGTGGCGAATTTCAATGTCTGACAGAATCAACTGGAAGCAGTGAACGAACAGGCATGTCGGGAACTGAAGGAAGCTATTGCAGCTGCTTCGAGCTCCAGCAGGGGCAAAGAGCTGACAATAACTGAGCTAACTCGAGGGGAACTGTACTCACCCACCTAAGGGCCCTTGCATCTGGCATGTATTGATAATCAATCTCCCTTACAACAATCCAACTCAAACCCTAAGGCTAATCAAGCAATGGGTTCCCAGATTGTTAACTCCCAAACCCAGCTTCAGATCAAACTCACAACTATCAACCTCACCCTACTTCTGCTACACACCAAGCTTCCATGACCAGAACTCAGATGACTCCACCTATAGCACCCATTCCCTCACCACAATTTTCAGTTCAATTTCCCCAAAACCACATACCAATGTCAGGGACAATTAACCAGATTCCCAACTCTATGACTAACCCAATACCCATTCCTATGAACCAAAACCAGATGCTACCAACTATGAACACCCTACCCAATACTCAACCAGTGTACTCACCTTACTCAACTCACTACAACACCTACCCTAACTACCACCCCTCATACTCGATTTTGAGAAAAAATAGGATCGAGTTCCCTAGGTTCAACGACAAGGGATTTTAGGACTGGTGGTACCAGGTGTAGCAATGTTTTACAATGGATGAAGTTCCACACAATCAGAAGGTTACAGTTGCTTCCATGCACCTGATGACTTGGCATTGCAGTGGCACCGGACTTATATGAGGAGCAGGGTACCCCTTAACCTTCCAATTCCGAGTTAGGATGAGTATATTTGGGCATTGTCCGATAGGTTTGGCGCAGAATTTGATGATCCTATGAGTGAATTGGTTAAGTTGAAGCAAACGGGAGGGGTGGCGGAATTTCAAGAGTCATTTGATAGAGCTATGATTAGGCTCAATTTGGAACCTAGCTATGATATTAGTATATTCCTAGATGGGTTGAAGCTAGAACTGGGAGATGTGTGAGGATATTGAAACCATATTCCCTGCCTCAAGCCTATCATTTGGCTCGGTTACAGGAGTCAATCTTTATTAAACAATCCAAAGCTTTGAGAACCTCCATTTTACAGTCATCTAACATCTTCAATAGAACCAATGCTTCATCACAACAACCCACCCATGCCAAACCTATAACGACACCTGTTAACTATTTACCAAAACATGTCTAGAATACAGTCCTTGATAGGACTAAGAGGAGGAGACTCACCCCTGCAGAATTGAGTGAGAAGAGAGCTAAGGGCTTGTGCTATGTCTGTGATGAAAAGTTTGAACTTGTTCATGTGTGTAAAGCCAAGGCTCAACTGTACTTGCTGGAGTTAGAGGAAGTGGAGACAATGGTGGAAACCGAGGAAGATTTGTTTAACATGGAAGTGGTTGCAGAGACGTGTGACATCTCAATCCATGCTCTTCATGGCACCACATGTTACAAGACATTAAGACTCCCTGGTTACTGTCTACATAGGACACTCAATATCCTTATTGATACAGGATCAACTCATAACTTCATTGACAAGGATTTGGTGACTAAAATGGGCTGGAAGGTGGATTCATGCGAATTACTTGATGCTAATTTAGCTGATGGAAACACAATGCCAATCTCAGGAGTGTGCAAGGGAATTGAGTGGTTGTTGCAAGGTTCTGTGTTTAGAGCAGACTTCTTATTGCTTTATTTGGGAACTTGTGATGTAGTGTTCGGGGTCCAGTGGTTAAGTGATTTGGGCGACATTTTGTTCAATTTTAAGAAATTGACTATGCAATTCGAATATGAAGGGAAGATGTTACACTTATAAGGTATTAGACCCAAACTACAGATGGTGGAGTCAGATGCCTTGCAGAAAATACAAAGGGAAGGTGCCCAACTATTTATGATTAAGGTTACAAGGAATGCACCCGAGGAGCACAAGGAGGGACATGAGCAGATTCAAGGCAATGAACCTGTTGAGATTCAGCAGGTGTTGCAGGAGTTTGAGGCAGTCTCCAGTGAACCAAAGGGGTTGCCCTCTTTCAGGGAACCTTTTGATCATCACATTCCACTCAAATAAGGGTCCAATCCAGTAAATGCAAGGCCCTACATGTATTCTCCAGTGCAAAAGGATGTTATTGAAAAAATGGTGCAGGAATTACAATCCTAGGGCTTAATACAACACAGTAGTAGTCCATTTGCTTCTCCAGTTATATTGGTAGGAAAGAAGGATGGCAGGTGGAGATTATGTGTGGATTATAGAGCTTTAAACCAGATTACAATTAAAGACAAGTACCCTATACCTATCATTGNTCTTACAAGGGATTAGACCCAAACTACAGATGGTGGAGTCAGATGCCTTGCAGAAAATACAAAGGGAATGTGCCCAACTATTTATGATTAAGGTGGTTACAAGGAATGCACAAGAGAAGCACAAGGAGGGACAGGAGCCGATTCTAGGCAATGAACCTGTTGAGATTCAACCTGTTGAGATTCAGCAGGTTTTGCATGAGTTTGAGGCAGTCTTCAGTGAACCAAAGGGGTTGCCCCCTTTCAGGGAACTTTTTGATCATCACATTCCATTCAAAGAAGGGACCAATCCAGTAAATGCAAGGCCCTACAGGTATTCTCTAGTGCAAAAGGATGTTATTGAAAAAATGGTGCACGAATTACAATCTCAGGGCTTAATACAACATAGTAGTAGTCCATTTGCTTCTCCAGCTGTATTGGTAGGGAAGAAGGATGGCAGTTGGAGATTATGTGTGGATTACAGAGCTTTAAACCAGATTACAATTAAAGACAAGTACCCTATACCTATCATTGAGGAGCTGTTGGATGAATTGGGGGGTTCACAGGTGTATTCTAAGATTGATCTTGGATCAGTCTATCACCAAATTAGGATGGCACCCTCAGACATTCACAAGACAGCTTTTAGGACCCATTCAGGTCATTATGAGTATTTGGTGATGCCATTTGGCGAATGCTCCCTGTAGCTTTCAAGGCTTGATGAACCACATTTTTCAAGAGCATTTGAGGAAGTTTATCTTAGTGTTCTTTGATGATATACTGGTTTTTAGCGAGACTATGCAGGATCATATGGCTCACTTAAAAGAGACCTTTAGATTGTTGCTGCAGCACTATCTCTTTGCTAGGAAATCTAAATGTCATTTTGCTACAACAAGTGTGGAGTCTATGGGACATTATATCTCTGCCAAGGGGGTCTCTACTGACCCTAAGAAGATCCAGGCAGTATAAGTGTGGCCAACCCCTTCTACTGTCAAGCAATTACGAGGCTTCTTGGGGTTGGCTGGGTATTATAGGAGATTCATTAGGGGTTATGGGCAGATTAGCAAGCCGCTGACTGATCTGTTGAAGAGAGATAGTTTCAAGTGAACTGGGAAGGCAACTGCAGCGTTTCAGTCATTGAAAAATGCTCTAACTACTGCACCAGTGTTAGCTCTGCCAGATTTTAGCTTGGTATTTACAGTCGAAACCGATGCGTGTGATGTGGGAATTGGAGTTGTGATTATGCAGAAGGGACAACCTATTGAATATCTAAGTAAAGGGTTATCTCAACAACACCAAACTATGTCTGTGTATGACAAAGAGTTTCTAGCATTGGTAATGGCTGTCACAAGGTGGGGTTAGTATTTAACAGATAGACATTTCATTGTTAAAACTGACCAAAAGGCCTTAAAATTCCTACTTGAGCAAAAGTTGCACACAAGAGCACAATTGAAGTGGGTGACTAAACTTATGCAATATGACTTTGAAATTGAATATAAGAGGGTAAGGAGAATAAAGTTGCAAATGCTCTGTCCAAAATTTATGCAGTGGAAATTGCTGCTCTCTCACTATCCACCTTGAGAACTGACCTACTACAGGCCATCATGAATAGCTGGATTACAAATCCAGAGTTACAAGAGTTAATGCATCAATTGGATAATCTCAAAGAAGAAGTGAAGGGGTATTCTCTCATTAATCAGCAATTGCGAAAGAATGAGAGAATGGTGGTTGGGTCTAGTGTAATGCTTAGGAAGGAGATACTTCAACTGTGGCATGACTCAGTTACTGGTGGTCATTCTGGAATCGACCATACTTACAGGAAGGTTGCTGCTCTGTTTTACTGGAGGGGGATGAAGGAAGAAGTGGAGAACTATGTTAAAAAATGCGATGTGTGCCAAAAAAGCAAGTATGACCACTCTGCATCTCCAGGCTTGTTGCAGCCACTACAAATTCTAGCACTGGTATGGAGTAGCATTAGCATGGATTTTATCGAGGGGTTGCCCAAGTATAATGGGAAAGAAGTCATTTGGGTGGTGGTGGATAGATTGACAAAGTATGCTTATTTTATAGCAGTTAAACATCCTTATTCTGCAATAGACATTGCCAAGTTGTTCATGGAAAATATCTTTAAGCTTCATGGAATGCCTGAAGATATTGTGAGTGGTAGGGACCCAATCTTCACGAGCAAATTGTGGCAGGAACTGTTTGCTACCCAAGGAGTGACCTTAAACACTTCTACTGCTTACCACCCACAGTCCGATGGTCAAACTGAGGTTATCAATAGGTTTTTGGAGACTTATTTATGATGCTACTGCTCTGACTCACCTGCAGATTGGGGGCATTATTTGATCTTTGCAGAATGGTGGTATAACACCACCTTTCACACATCCACTCAGACCACACCATATGAACCCTTGTATGGTCAGCCTCCACCTTTACACTTGCCTTATATGCAAGGAGATTCAGGGGTACCAGAAGTGGTTAGAAGCTTGATGACAAAGGAGCTCAAGTTGCAGCTACTTAAGTTCCATCTGTCCAGGTCTCAACAGAGGAGGGTCGACCAAGCCAACAGAAAAAGATCAGACAAACAGTTTAAGGTTGGAGAGTGGGTGTATCTTAAGATTCAACCCTATAGGTAGATGACTTTATCTAGTAGACACTTCACCAAACTTTCTTCCAAGTATTATGGACCATACCAGATCCTTCAGAAGGTAGGCAATGTTGCCTACAAACTGTCCTTGCCTCCACAGTTGATGTTGCACCCCACCTTCCATGTATCCTTACTTAAACCCTGTTACAAGGTCCCTCAGAAAGTATCTCACCCCCCAGTTTTGGACTTGTCTAGCCCTTATTTTCCTTGCCCTGCTAATGTGTTGGACAGAAGGATGGTTCAGAAGGGGAATAAGGCAATTGTTCAGCTTCTAATTCAATGGGATCAACTTTCAGAAGATCAAGCAACTTGGGAAAATGCTAGTATTTTGCGTGTCGGGTTTCCATCCTTTCTTCCTTGAGGACAATGAAGATTTTCAGGGGGGAGTACTGATATAAACTGCGTCAATTGCACAACTGCGGGAGTAGTACGAGAATAAGAAGTAGTTAAGTCGGTATACAATTTGAGAACTAGCAGTTTAGTCCCTAGAGTATTTTTACTTTGGCCCAGTTAGTCTTATATTTCTTTTACTTTAGTCTCCATCTAAGTCACGTTATATGTACTGCACTTTACCCATTTGAGGATTATGAATAAGAATACTTAGTTCCTTTCTCTTCTCTCTTAGATTGCTAACTTAGATCTCATTATTTTCCTTGCAAGTTAATAGATTATATCATAGCCATAGTTATGGCTTCATCTACCCGGTTGGGTTTTGAATTTCAAATAGTGGCAGTCTATGTGATAAAAAGAAGAGAAAGATAGAAAGAAAGAGATTTGAGAGGAGTCTCACCTTTTAAGGGATTGATGTGAGGAGAAGGAGTCGTTGAGGGCTGTTCGCTCCCATTTTTGAAGCTCCATCTCGAATATGCTTTGGCTCACCAAATCTTGACTGTTTCTTTAACAAAACCAAAGGATCTTCCAGATCCTATGAAGGCCAAAGTAATTTGACCGGGATAAGTGATAGACCTCCGCATTTCTCCGCTACGCACTTGGCTACCCATCATTTACCGTGGGCACGATAACTGGTACACCAGAGGTGCGTCTTTCCCGGTCCTCTCGTACTAGGGAAAGGTCCAGAGATCTGATAGAGAAGAAAGAAAGGGGAAAATGTGGGGGTTTAGTGATGGGAGAGAGGGTGGTGAACCACCAGTTGCCGTTGGGGTTCATTGGGTAAAAATGGTGAGAGAAGAGGGAGTGAGATAGAATGAGGGCGGCGTATGAGAGGTGAGTGAGTGATTAAGGTTTGATCTTAAGGATAAATGGGGTTCGCTGGTTGAGTGAATGAGGACTATTGAATCACTGTTGATCAACGGGTGAGACTATTTTGGGGAAGTTAATAAAATGGAAAATGCGAGAATAAATGATAACCGCTGGATCTGAGTGATCCAACGGCTGCGAATAAGCAGAGAAATGGGATAATTTTTAAAGGAAAAATGTGTGGATGAATTTTTGACCGTCCGATGCCAAGATTGATGGTCTGATTAGTTGTGCTTGTTTTGTGAGAGGCATGGAAAGTGTGTTTTCTTTGTGAGAGGAGATACATGTGACGTGGTAGGTGGTGATTGGCGCATTAATAGTAGCGCGGATTGCTGAGATAGAAAAGGGGAGCTGGGCTAGGAGATTTCAGACTGGGTCAGGGGCTAATGGGCCAATTCTTTGGGCCTTTTGATGGGTATGAGGATGAAGAAATAGGATTGAATATATAGCCATGCCAATTAAAATCTAAAAATTGCAAGCATAGCCTATTACACTTTTAACCCATATTTTATTGTAATTAACTTAACTTAATATTTGCTTAATTGTAATAATTCAAAATAAAATATATTACTAATGACTTACTGTTTACTTGAATAGATGTTGAAGACTCTGGTGATCCGTATACACCTCATAAGATACACCATATAAGTGGTGCCTCCAAATCTTGAGCGCGTGTGCAATAGCTGCTAACTCCAAATCATCTACTGGGTAGTTCTTATCATGGGGCTTCAACTGGCATGACGCATAGGCAATCACTTTACCGTCCTGTATCAACACACACCCAATACCAACCCGTGAAGCATCATAATAGACTGTATATGAACCTGATCCCGGAGGCAAAACCAACATTGGAGCTGTAGTCAAGACAGTCTTGATCCTATGAAAGCTCTCCTCACACTCGTTTGAGCACTTAAATCGGGCACCCTTCTGAGTCAACGTAGTCAATGGGGCTACAATAGATGAATACCCATCCACAAAGTGGCAATAATACCCATCCAACACTAGGAAACCCCTAATATCCATAGCGGTAGAAGGTCTGGGCCAACTATGAACTGCCTCAATCTTCTTCTGATCCACTTTAATTCCCTCACTGGACACCACGTGGCCCAAGAATGCCACTGAATCTAACCAAAACTCGCACTTGAAAAACTTAGCATATAACTTCTTCTCCCTTAAAATCTAGAGCATAATCCTCAAGTGTTGCTCATGCTCCTCCCGACTGTGACAATACACCAATACATTATCAATAAACACAATATTGAAGGAATCCAGATAAGGCTGAAACACACTATTCATCAAGTGCATGAAAGCTGATGGGGATTGGTCAGCCCAAAAGACATCACCAAGAACTCATAATGCCCATAACGGATCCTGAAGGCCGTCTTAGGAATGTATGAAGCCCCGATCTTTAATCGATGGTACCTTGATCTCAAATCAATCTTTGAGAAGGCCCTAGCACCCTGAAGCTGATCAAATAATCATCAATACACGTCAATAGATACTTGCTCTTGATGGAAACCTTGTTTAATTGCCGGGAGTCAATACACATTCTCATAGAACCGTATTTCTTCTTCACAAATAGAACCGGAGCACCCTAAGGTGACACACTAGGCATGATGAAACCATTATTTAGAAATTTCTGCAACTGTTCTTTCAATTCCTTCAACTCTACTGTAGCCATGCGATATGGTGGAATAGATATAGGCTGAGTGTGGTGCCAAATCATTATCAAAATCAATGTCCTTATTGGTTGGCATACCTGGTAGGTCTAGAGGGAAGACATCTGAATACTCCCTCACCATGGAGACTGAATCAACCGTGGGAGTATCAACATTCACATCTCTAATAAAGGCTAAGTTCGTCAAGCACCTCTTCTCAACCATCTGCCGAGTTTTTAGCAAAGACATCACCCTACTAGGAACTTGACCCAAGAAACTTCTCCATTCCAAACTAGGCAACCCCGACATAACCAACGTCATGGTCTTAGCATGACAATCAAGAATAGATAGTACAAAGATAGCCAATCCATACCCTAAATCACATCTAAATCCACCATATTAAGCAATACCGTATCAACCCTACTCTCGTAGCTCTCAATAGTGACCAAACAAGAATGATAGTCACGGTCTACCATAATACAATCCTCAATGGGTATAGACACATAAACATGAGTATCTAGAGAGTCACAAGACATATCCAAATATGAAGGAAAGTAGGATGACACACGGATCAAATAAAACTGATACATCTCTATGATAGAATGGAATAATACTTGTAATAACTGCATCTGATACAAATGCCTCAATTCTACCAGGGAAATCATAACAATGGGCTTGGTCTCCCCTTTTAGGACGACCTCTACCTGCCTGTCTTCCACCTCTAGCTGGCTGTGCAGGTAGAGTAGCAACTGGAGCGGGAACCATAACCCAAGTACCCTACTGAGGTCTACCCATCCAAAATTTAGGACAATATCTCACCCTGTGCCTAGTATCACCACACTAAAAACAACCTCTGTGCGGGCATGGCTGCTGGTACTGAGTCTACCTCGAATGACTAAAATGACCACTGTAGGAACCCCGTGCAGAAGGTTCACTTAAAGATGGTTTCTTGATATGAGTGCTCTAGAGTCTATGACTAGCTGGAGCACTGCAAGTAACCTGAAGTGCAGACTGAAATGGTCGATTGACAAAACCTCTACCATGACAGATCTGAGCCAAAGAGTAGAAACCACTAAATCTTCCAGAACCACGAGGCTTCTTTGACTCCCTATCCTCTCTCTTCTGACCGTGGATACGCTATAACCTCCTAGAAATATCCACAACCTAATGAAATACAGTCTCAGTCTCCAACTCCCATGCCATCCCAAATATGAGGCTAAAGACAAGTCCCTCAATAAATCTATGGATTCTCTCTCTCTCTCTCTCTCTCTCTCTCTCTCTCTCTATCTATCTATCTATCTATCTATCTATCTATCTATCTATCTATCTATCTATCTATCTATCTATCTATCTATCTATCTATCTATCTATCTATCTATCAATCTATCTATCTCTCTCTCTCTCTCTCTCTATCTATGAAAACCAAGGAAGGTGCATGATGTGATAACTTTGTACACCCCATAGTATACTCGGACACAATCATGCTCCCCTGACGCAACTGCTCACACTCCCTGCGCAACTCGTCCCTGTAGGTCTGTGGAATAAACTCCCTTAAAAAAAGATCTGAGAACTGGGACCAAGTAAGTAGTGTTGCGCCAGCTAGTCTACTCACTTCACAAGTCTACCACCATTTATTTGTATGTCGACCTCGTCACCTGAAAAGTAGTAAGGTCGACCCTGCTCGATTCCACTAAACCCATAATATGCAGAATGCGGTGACAATGATCCAAAGAAACCCTGTGCATTCTCAGAAGCCCCTCCACTGAATTGGGGAGGGTGGAACTTCTAAAACCTCTCCAAACTCCTATGTCCCTCCGTCAACACAATTGGCCTTACCTGGGGTTGAACTGCAACTACTGGTTGCACTGACACAACACTCGGTGTCTAGTAAGCATGAGTTGACTGCTCTAGTGTACGGGCTGCGGGAGTCTGAGCTCCTCCCCCAACCTGTGAGGTAGATGGTGCCATCGAAATCAGCCCTGTTTGGGCCAAACTCCCAAACATACTCATGAAGTGTGCTGAGGGCTCCTGGAGCCCTGCTTTATCAATAGGATGCTCAGGTGCATGCTCAATATGCTCAGATTCCTGGTCCTCAACTAGAGCTACTGGAGTCTCTACATCTGTTACTTTAGGAGGTGCTCTAGTTGTATCACGTTCCCTACCTTCACCTCTACCTCGTCTCCGACCTCTCACGGCTCTAATAGGGGGCACTGGTGTCTGCTTACCTGATCCAGCAGAATATGTCCTCACCATTTATGAGAGAATAGAAAAGTAAAGATTCAAGCATTGGAATAAACAAATCTGCAAAGTTAATGACCCAAAACCCATAGCCCATAGCCCTATAAAGATAAGTACAAACGTCTCTGTACCGATCCGCAAGATTCTACTAGACTTGCTCAAGACTCGTAGGACCTATGATTCTAGGGCTCTCATACCAACTTGTCATGACCCAAAACCCACCATAGGGGTCGTGATGGAACCTAATCTAGAATACTAGGTAAGCGTGTCACTTCACAACATTTAAATCAATGAATCATGATATAATAAGACAGAAATTAATATAAAATCAAAAATAGAGTTAATGCAAGCCAAAGTGGCAATACTCAAAACATCTCCTATAACTAGGTCGTATAGAATCATGAGCTCTAATTGAGTACATACAGAATATTGAAAAAATACAATGTTGTTCGAACATAAAATTAGCAGTATCTATGTAAAAGATAAGATTCCAAGGGACTGTAACAACATGCAGCTCTACCTTGAATTCTCATGAACCAAGCATGCTCTCACTCTCGGGGTCTGCTGCCACCAACATCTGGATCTGCACAAAATTATGCAGAAGTATAGTACGAGTATACCACATTCGGTACCTAGTAAGTATCAAGGCTAACCTTAGTAAAGAATTGATGAGGTTCAAGTCCTGTGATATTCACTAGTCAAATAACATGTGCAATATATCAAAGACTGGGAACAAAATGTATAACCAAAGATAATAACAATCTCTTTAATACAAGTGATAGCAACTCAATGCAAGTAAAGGTTCAGCTTTAACAACATGTCATCAAATAGAAACACAACACATGGCACCTTGTGCCCGCATTTCTGGCACAATAATAATATCCACCCTTATCACTCCGTCCTGATACAATAACAATATTCCAGTGTATCGCTCTGCCCTGACACAATAACAATATTCCACCGTATCGCTCTTCCCTGACACAATAACAATATCCCACAGTATCGCTCCGCCCTGACATAATAACAATATCCCACTATATCGCTCCGTCCTAACACAATATCAATCATAATTGCACGATAAAAACCTCATGCCAACACCTAACAATTCTCTCTACATGTGCCACAATAATCAC